TTGGATCCCCAGCCCAGGATTCAAGATTCATGATTCAAGATTCAAGCAGAACTTCTTGGACCCCCAGCCCAGGATTCAAGATTCATGATTCAAGATTCAAGCAGAACCTCTTCGACCCCCAGCCCAGGATTCAAGATTCAAGATTCCTGCTGGGGATCCAAGAAGCCCTATTTGAATCTGAATCTTGAATCCTGGGCAGGGGATCCAAGAAGTTCTATTAGAATCTTGGATCTTGAATCTTGAATCCTGGGCTGGGGATCCAAGAAGTTCTATTTGAATCTTGAATCTTGAATCCCTGTACTTAGCACAAATTTGGCCAAAGAACAATTGCAATTTCTTGCATGTTTTCGTCATCTGCAAGTAAATCATAAAAACAACTCCAAGGTCTACAAAAGTTTGCTTGATACAGGTCCAAACTTATGTATTAAATCCAAACCTCAAACATGTATGAAAACACCTGCAAGTACCATTAAAAATCTAGAAAAAGGTAAGTCTATAGGGGGTGTACCATATTTTTTACCTAATATTATATATATATGCTCTTTGGATTTTAAGGGTTGTCCATGTTTAACACGATTTGAGAGATGCAGGAGGCTTCAGGTTGCTTGTCAAGCATGTTCAACACGATGGGTGTTTCGCGACTGAACGGCATATTTGGCCCAAGTGTGATGTTTGCAACGCCAATGGATGAGTCGCAGTGGCTAATCTTGACGAAAAGCCGCAACACATTAGGATCAGGGCCTTTGCATGAGGTCCACTTGAAGCAATTACTTGGGGCAATGCGGCTCAACCCTAAGAGCTTCACCGATTTTGTCGTGCTCAGTCGAGAACAGAAGTTTCCAAACATTCCTGACCAGGAGAACTTCGATGGCTCCTGCACTCCAGAGGGGGAAATCAGAGCATCTTCCAAATGTGTTTTGATGATCTCGGAGTCGGAGGAAGAACCCACCAAGTGTGCCCGATTCACCATTGGCTTGTGAATTCGCACCACAATCCCCATTCATGCGGATTGAGACAGTTGCCATGCAAAGCTCTCAGCCCCATTGATATGTTATACTCATTGCAGAAGTGTTGCAGTTTGGCAGGGCATCTGCAAATTTTTTGCTCAGCGTGAGTCCAGTCAGCAATTTGAGCACTTTCTTACGAATGCTGATGTTATTTACTGAGTGTCAACACTTTTTCGAGACATGGCGTGGAGAACGCACTGTCGACCACCGTCGGAAGCACTTGCGCGACGAAGTCTGCTGGGCAATTGCCTGTGTTTTATCAATGTATTGTTTTGCGCATTTGGCTGTGTTTTCCTGGGGAAGTGTTGAAGCTTGACAACTCTCCTCCAAACACACCACTCCTCACTTGTGGCCAAGAAGAAAAGACCTGCTGCCTGCCTTGCCCAGCTCGTTTGCAGAAGTAGGTTACTGGACCGTTGTTCAGCCTTGGTTTGTGGCATTTGCACCAATATGCATTTTTATATGTTTATATTGTGATGGACACAGTAGACTGCAGCGCGTGTATCCAAACGGCTTCTCCAGGATGTAGAACGGATGTCGAACTGTTTGCAGAATGTTCTTGATCCTTACTTTGAGATACACGGATCATTAGCTCGACTGTTTTAAAGGTGATGTGTGTGTGTTTTTAGAACGTGAGGGATGCTCGAGGTTCCTTGTCGTTGATCTCCTCGTCGCTTTGGTCGAGTGCCATCGCTCGCATGGAGGCTATCAGCCCTGTGCCAGAGGTCAAGCAGGCGACCCGAGCGAGCACGCACATCGGAGAGGACCAAGAGGATGGTTCTATGGCCATTTTTGAAAAGGGGCCACTGAGCAGGGGGTCTTCTTAAAGGTGCCCTTCCCTTGCATTTCTTTGTTTTCCTATGGCTCCACCACTCTACTCTAAAGAGGAGCTGGGAGCTTTCTTGACGACTTTGTTCCCTCAGCTAGTTCATTGGAACCACTTCAGAGGGGACCGGATTGTATAGTATTTGGATGTATTTGGGGTGTCAAGTTTCATAAGTTTTATCGGACAAAATGTCCGAACAGTAATATGCATATCCCTTTACAGACCTTTACACCCCCAAAGTTGCAACCAGTTTCAATTCACACGCTAACACATGCGTGTGGGACGGCTGATTGACAGCCATACTCGCCAGAGGGAGAGAGAGCGAGAGAGAGAGAGAGACATGCATGTTTGATTTGCCAACCTGACCCCACATCACACATGGCCTCTCAAATTTTAGCGTATGCTGTGGATTTCAGTCTGAAACTTTTTCGGTTTCCTGCAGCGGACGACAACAGGGGGAGGTCCAATACCCTGATCTCATCAACTCAAAAGTCAACTCCACGGAGACAAAACGATACAAAACGTCGACTACAAAAGAGTCACACTCCGGAGAAGGATGTGTTGAGAGATGAATGTTCGCAGCCACGCGTCGCCAGAGCACCGACGTTCTCTCTACGTTTGGGGGAAAAAATCAGTTGCTACGAATCCATCATGTTTTGGGACTTCATGGGTCATGAATGGTCATGATATGACTGGATTTCGATCCTCCTGCAGTTGCTGTTTGAAGGTTCGCAGCCGCTCGAAAGATCCCAAACAGGAGGCACGGAGGGCGGAGGGTTCGTTGCGCACAAGGTGGTTTATTGTGCCATGGATTTGTTCTAAAACATGTATGAAACATATATGTATTTTGATGTAAGATGAGAAGAGTCGACTTGCCCAGTTGCCCAGTGTGTATGATTTGCTTGACCTATTGATTTATCTATCAGTCTATTTATTTTATTTGTGTTATTGTTTATTTGTTTGTTTATCTATCCATCCATCTATCATATTTATCTATCTAAGACTATCTATCTACCAAATAATCTAGTCTAATCTGACCGAATCTATCTATCTATCTATCTATTTATCTATCTCTCTATCTCTATCTATCTATATGTTTATCTATCTGTCTATCTATTTGATCTACGTGTTAAGTAATAAATTAAGTAATAATTAGTAGGAACCAGGTAGCTACTGTGGTGAACTGATCGACTAAGATGATTTTGGGCTAAGCATTTCAGCGGCAGTTCAACTGGCAAAATGCAGTTCTATAGCTCCATGACTCACCTTTTGGATTGTGAAAGAACATGGCTTGGACAAGGGCGTCAACCAGAATGCAGGGTTGTCAAAGACATGTTACGGGAATCACGGATGGAGGAGAAGCCAAAGTGCTCCAATCGAATGAAACTGGCTAATGTGCGACGTGAACAAGTGTGATCATAAGGCCGATGCTGTGTATAGCTCACAGGCCAACATGTACACCGTAGATGTGCATCTTAGAGTCAGCAGTCAGAAGTCATATAGCCGCGAGGTGTAGGGACAATCAATGTTTGCCAAGCTAGAGTAGCCATTAACTTTCTCAAAGCACCTATCAAAGATTTTGGCGATTGGCTTCAACTAGTGTCAAACCCCATTGGCTCCATCCTGATGTGGCCGCGATCTACAGTTGTTCATGAGTCCTCGATCCGCTCGATCTGTGTGGTTCATCCTGCACCGCCTTGGGGATGAACCGACTAGGCTTGGCCAGGGCATGCAGTGAGACAGGACCTGGGTGATGTTTCTTTCGAATCCATGAAGCACCGATCCGAGAGAAAACAGAGATGTGTTGATGTGTCTCCATTGGCTGTGGCTTTGTGAGTTCTTGAACGCTGACAGCCAGAGATTGAGTGAGGAAGCAATCCACCTGGGTGACTTGAACTTTGTTGCTTGGGGGGTCGCTTGGCATGGCGATGTGAATGCGAATGAGCTGAGAGAAATGGACATGATGCATAATGATGCATGGATTCTTCGATGTATTGCTATACGATGTGTTTGTTTGTAACTCATGTTGTTCTTGAAGCATGTTAAAACATGTTTTATAACATGTTAAGTTTAAAAGTGTACTAGCTTTCTTGCAGCCACACCACGAGGACCCACTCATTGCTTGTCGACAAACCCATGGGCCGAGGTTTGGTCACACCATGGGCCCGAGAGCAGCGAAGGCCGCGACGTGCCGTTTCATGCTCACGGTGACCCGGCACGTGCCATGAAGGACCCTCAGTCAGATTTCTCAGGGTGGCAGCTTGACCACTGACATGCAGAAAGTAGATGATTGAGTGACCACTAAGGAGACACCTCTTTGGATTAGTGCCTCTTCTGACATGTGACTTTCTCTTTGAACGTGGGTTCTTTCCCAGTTCCAGAAAAATGACACCAAACTCTGAACTACGTCGGTCACATGAGATGAACGCAATTTGTCAAACCGACCTGCGCTGAGATGGACGACGTTACACCTCGGGTATTTGAGGTGTTCGCGTGCTTTGGTCCATCAAGAACATTGACAGAGCACCCAGTCGCTCCACTCCTCTTGGGTCTAAGCAAAACCTTGCTATGCGTGCTGCTGTGGACCATGACTGAGTTCAGGCCAGATTTCAAGGGTGTGTTGCCTTTGGAAAGAGGTATTTGGATCAGATACACTATCCAAAGGCTTGTGTTTACAATGGTACATACTGGAGTTGGTAAGGAAATGCTCGAGACTTGATGGAGAGAAGTATTCAAAAGGTACCTTCCTGGGGCTGGTACCTTCCAGCCTATATATATCCTGTACCTTCAGTGGTTGACTTGTGTTTGCTTGGGGTGGGGAGCTGGTTGCAGAAGCTGTGTGCTCTCCATCTTCAGTCCTTGGTGAGTCACCACCTCGCATACCGGCTCAAAACAAGGCAGCATTTTTTGGACCACTCGCTTGATTCATTGTAGTTTTGCCAGGACATGATTGGCCTTTTCTATGCCAAAGTTTGATAGATCCGAGAGGGAATGGATGACACCAGAAACCCTCACATTGTTTAAATACATGATGCAAGGGGATTCACTTCTCGGAGTAGGGAAGCACATCTATTGAAGTTTCGTGTTAATTGGACAGTCTGCATATTATGATGTCTACATGATCATTGCTTGACAGATCCGTGTCTGGCATATCGCCCGTCTTCGCTATGGAGCTCGGCGCTGGCCTTTGGCCGAAGGCCTCCATTTTCCCGGCCACGCTCCCAACTCGTCCAACTCTGAGACTCGTCCAACTCTGCGGTGGTGTTTTGGTTCGTATTCATTGCACACAGAGCTTGCCTAAGGATAGGTAATTACTTCCTCACTCTTTCAGGATTTCTGCCACACTGTTGGACAGTTGTGCTTTTTTGCTGGTGGCTTGAGGCAAAGGAGGCATAAGCAGCAGACCCCGATATGGCACATATGGCCAGCCGCGTTGGCCACATCGTTTGCAGCTGCTCCCGGCAGACGGAGGACTTTGATGGCTAGAGCTGTGCAATCGGACAAGGGCTACAGCCTTAGTTCCAAGACAGGCGGAACAATAACGTCATATTGTTGAAGCAAATCCGGCTGTTGAAAGAACTTGGGGACTGCAGATGGTGTATGTTTAGCAATTACTCTAAGTTTAGAGCATTTGCGACTCTAAACAATAAAGAAGGAATGCGTGATGGGTTCCCATTTTCTGCAGGACTCAAAATCAATAGTGGTAGTGTTTGTCCCATTTGCTTAGTCTCATTTGTAGGGGACTTACACCACAAACTAGTTGCTTGGAGCCTTGGAATTCGCACTAATTGCTTAGGAACACTATTCTTTGTAGCAGCTTTTGCCGTCAATTGTAGGTCTATTCAGGAACATCCAGCCACGCCATGCCACACCCGCAGTCCTTTGAGCTCACGAGTTGTCTGAGGTCCTGACAGTTTTAAGTTCTCAGATGGTGAGGTGATGACGCTTTGCCTTTGATGGTGACATATGGTGACGGTCTTATTTTGTGACATCTTTTATATGAAAGTTGAACAACCGTTGCATCAATTCTGGTGTGTCTCAATTGGAAAATGCACGGTTGGTCCACCCTTGGTGCTAGTTCTATTTTTCTAACTAATTACCCGCATGGCGTTTCCCATGCTTGTTGAAACAAGAGAGCGCTTACAGCTTTGGACATCAATCAGTTGAACGAGACTTGCCAAGGAAAAGCCTGCCACATTTTCTGGAAGTTGCGCGTGTCACTTGGTCGAGAAGCAGGGACGCTGGACGCTAAAAGGTGAGCTAAATACACGTCAATCCACAATCGCTTCGCCTCCTGATCGCTTCGAGAATCGAATCACTGTCATTTCAGCAACTTGACCACCATGGGGCGGTGGGTGGATGGATATATCGCTCATATGTTGTCATATTTTGCTCCAACGTCCCGAGGAGGTGGTTGAGGCCATCCGCCAATTTGCTGACCTTCATCGCAGTGATACCGTGGTGACCTGGATCACCGGAGACCTGGGCTTTAAGACATTTAAGTATCTTTGAGACATTCCCAGGGTTTTGACTGAAAGTGTGAACCCCTTTCAGCACTTGAGTACCATTTGGGGTACGTGTCGGTTCCATCCAAACCTCCAGCTTCTATGTTTCTTCAGCTTGGGATTTACAGGCTACGTGTCGGTCTCTGGTTTCGACCAAAACCGGGACCACCGTTTACGACCCAAACGCGGCGTCTTCCAAGGAAAACGGGTGCAAGTCTACCTCTCGGGTCCCAAGAGCCAGCCTTTCTTGCAGTACGCAGAGGCGGCCAAAACCGGCGCGGCGCGGGAAGCAGGTCGGGAAGCAGGTCGTCCGTCTCCCACGAGACGGAGACGTACAGCTTCATGTGTTGAAAGCGGCGGTGTCGGTTTCTGGTTATGAAACGCTGTGAAGGACCAGTCCCACCAGTTTTTCGTTCGACCAGGTTTTCTGCACGCGGACGGGACCGGACCATGTGGCAACCATGAAAAGGCCGTCAACCCAGCAGTCACAACAAAGGGGTGCGATCCACGGAGGTCGGTTAGGGGTGCCCAGAACATCCACTCACTGGATGGGACTAAACCCCACCCCGTTTTGTGACCGCTGGACTATAGTTCTCGTTCTTTCCTCCATCCTGACGTGAACAAAACATGAACTCCTCTGAGCGGGGTGACTTGGTTTGAGCGCAACCTGGACGTTTGGCTGCCATTGATGGACCCCCATTGCAGGAGCATGAGACTCTTGGATGCCATTGATGGAGACCTGTGGAGCTTTAATCCAGCCGAACACAGGTGCTCCACACACAAGAAAAGCTTGGGTTCTAGAACTGGTCCGTTCGTAGACATGTTTGTGTTGTATGTGTTTCTAGTGGGACCATTCTGGGGACCACTCGGGGTGGCGTCTCAGATTCAACCTTGACTTGTCAGATCCAACTGGACCCGAAACATCCCGAAACTAAACTGTTGAGTGAGGAAGTCCTGCGCCGGCTAGGATGGCTCTCCATCTAGGTACCTGACATCTTCACTCTTTCTAATTATTGGAGCTAGTGCGAGATTTCATCCACCGACAGTGGTAACTCAACTGGGACAAAAGGGCCAAATAGAGTATGCATTAGTGTTTTCTTAGGGTCTGGTCGCTCCTACCGACCCCGTTGGTTGGGACTGTCCTCAAAGCCTAACCTATGTCCAAGCATGGTCCAGTGCTTTGGTGCAGTTTGATAGGGGCCGGCTGTTTCTTTGAGCTAACGAATCAGAGGAAGATCTTCCTACCAGGCTGTACATTGGTCGCCCCTATAGTGCAAGAATTCACTCTTTGAGTGCATTTGCAAGCACCATCAACTTAAGGCCTTTTTGAACTAGGTGGCCACCCATTTCGTGCTTTCGGCTAAGGCATTCGGAGATCCTTTTAACATTCCTGGCCCAGCTCAAGTCGCAGCTGGCGTGTGTGGCCGAACTCAATGGTGGTGAGGCCTCAGAGGACATCGCAGCCTTAGTGGGCGCTGCCGAGATGCAGGTGCCGAAACCTCTCAAGAACAAGGATAGAAGAACAGCAGAAAGCTAGCTGGTGCTGCTTCTCCTCTATGGATTATGGATCTGAATGGAGAGAGTCTCAGAATCGACATATGATTACGCTATGCTAACAATTCCCCTAAGATCGATGATGAAGGGTCACTCCTGGTCAAGACCGGCAGCTGGTCATTTGTGTGTGTGCTGGGTCCGTGGCCGTAGCCTGTTGGCGGCCATAGGTGCCACATACAGACCTTCTGCCGGGCCAAGTGCAGGTTTCTTGGCCTGTCAGTGGGTATGACTAGGCAAATGGCACCCTACTTTGACTATTCACGAAAGCTAGCCTTAGCTAGCTGGAGTTGCTCTTGCTTTAGCAAGTTAAGTGACGGGGTGGACGCACCTCAGAAACCTCAAATAATTGATTAAATCAATCTTATGGACCCCCCCCCCCCCCCC